CCACTGGAATAGTCAGTGATGGATTTGACAGAAGCCTTTAGTGGAGGATAGGTTACCTGGCCAAGCAGGCGTTGATTGAGGAGAGCTTTTATTAAACTGGATCAAAATAGCCTTGGTAGAGCTGCCCTGGTAGTAGGAACACTTTTTTGTGACACTGAGCTGGTTTTCTGGTTTGTATATAATAAGCTGTAGACAAAAAGCTGTGCCATTATGTTAATGGTGGCAATGCCTTTACTTGATGGCTTCCAGAATGCATGGGATTTGGGGTTTCTTTACTGAGTACAGCTGTTGATGACTGGTAATCCACTTTATCTTGATCTGAATTTGAGATTTTTTTTTTATGTGAATCTTCTGAATCCTTTTATCACATGAGCAGCTCACACTGCTTTGATAATTGTGACGTTTTTGTTACCTTGCTGTAGCAATTACAAGTGCCAATGTAATGGATGAAACTGCTGCTGATCTACTAAAGCTGCGTAAGTGGTACAGGAGTCTGAACCTGGGCCTGTAATTTCATGGCCTGCGTCTGAATGAAACGTTGTCTTAGTTAAAAACAAAACCAACAAGTTATTAACAAACACTTTCTCAAACATTTCTTTTGTCCTTGACATTATTTACAAAATATGCAGTTGCTGAAATGAACATTGTAGAGTTTTGGAAAGCTGCGGCTCTAAAAAGGGGTTTTAAGTTTGGGTAGACCTGACTACAGTCTTTGCCATCAAGTGCTAGAAGTGCATCAGTGCTTCAGTTGCTTGTGTCAAGGTTAGTCAAGGGACTTGAAAGCCCACCCCACACGAGTTCAAGTAAACATTCACTTGCCATGTGATCTGGTGTTGTACCCACTGTACTGTATGTGAGTTGGAAACTGAACCCTTTCAAAGGACACTGTCAAGTGACTCAGTTGTTGAGCACAGAGCTACCAGTATTGATATTGAAGATGCTACAGAACTTCAGCTCCGTGTGTGGCTGCTAAACCGCATGGTTTGGAAACTTGTTGACATGGTGAGACTTGGCCTTTTGAAGGAGACAAGTCGCCGAAGTCAAATTAAGGTCACTGTTCAATCTTTAACCAAGTTTTGAGAGAAAGGTTCATAAAAGATATTTACTGTATTCCCACTGATCTGTAGCTTTAAACATGATGAGGCAAGGGAGAGTGACGAAGCATTTTCATGCGTGCGTCAGCCCGGGCACGCCTTACAGCTTGAATATGGACTAGTGTTGTATCAGATGTTACCAGTTCAAGGATAACTCTTAGCCTTTCATAATCTTGTCCTGTTAATGTTTCGTCTGCTCTTCAGTAAGATCATTTACTGCTGCTGTTCAGGAAAGCTAGTAATAATCTCTACGATGTGTGGGGTTTTTTGGGTGTAAGTAGGTATAAATGGACCTGTACTACAGAATCAAAACTCTCTCTTTAGAAAATAGGTCCTAATAGGACATAGAGAGAGCACTATGGGAATGATTTAGGGAAATAAGAAGTTTTCCTAGTAATCCAGTAATTTAACTTTTCTTTTTGCAGTAATACACTGTATGTAACGATATGCAGTCATTACCAACCCAAAGTGAACTGTCAAGTAGTTTAATCTTTTGCTTCTATTTTCCGCTCCCCTCCAAAACGTTCCCTGCTTATAATGTATTGCTGCTGTTGCTTCCTCAGCATTAGAGAGTACTTAAGTGTGCTTACATTAAAAAAAGGTCCATGGAGCTCAGACAGACATGTGGGACACTTGTGTTCTGAGATGCTGGAGTCATAGTTGCCCAGGACCTTGTAGGCATCATTCCTTCATGTTAGTAGTTCACTCCAAGTGTCATTGCTGACCCAGTGTTAGAACTGGGTTTCTCTTTGAGACACTAGTTTGGCATGCAAGTTTTAACACTACTGGGCACTATGGCAACAAAGAAGCCCCCCACCCCCCCCCCCCCCCCCCAAAAAAAAAAAAAAAGAGACCCTAAACACACAAAGCACCAAAACAAAGTGCTCTGAATTTGTGCTCATCCAAAACCTTTGCTTATGCCATCTTACATTGATTATGCAAATGTGGGAGTAAGGAGGACTTGCCAAGCTCAGATGTATCATAATATCCAAGGTTTGCTAAGAAGAGCCAAGACGTTTTTATACTTGGAGCTGCCAGTAGTAGCAGCTACTGGACTTTGAATGGACATGATGTAGCCTTACTTCTTAATCCCATTTTCCCTGGAAATGTTCCAGGGGAAATGAAAACTTACTTGCAGTGTTGGCAAAGTAAATAAAGCACAGGTTACTCCAATACCCCAGCAGAAGTGTCAGTTGCCAGTAGTGAGGAATCCTGTGAGGAATTACAGGCAGGTAAACATGAAAATGCAGCATTGAGGTCCAGTCGTCTTTCTTTGTCTTGCAGAGCTGATCCTGCATTCCAGCAGTGAAAAATGGTCAGGAGATTAACATTTTCTTGTGCATACGCAGAAGTAGGCCAAATGGAGGTTGTGCAATCAACCTGAATTGCTGCACTTACAAAGCAGAGAGATCCCTATAGAGGGATGTAGCTCCTAGGGAAGGCTTCCTTTTCATCAGCTTCACTTTTTCTGTGATGCTGTAACTAAATTTTCTTAGCTCAGTTGAAGACTGATCTTTGGTCCTTTTCCCTTGTTCTGCAGCCTCCTGGGCACTGAACCATTACTGTGCTGAACAATTATGCTCAGTATCTGAATTGGACTTCCATTTCTTGAAGAAAATATTTTATCTAGCTCTTGATTTACTCCTTAAAAAGTTTCAGTTCTCCTCATTGTTCTTTAGACTTTTTCACAATAAACTTAAATTCCGTGTGACAGAATATCCAGGCGGGCACGTGGTTCAGTTTTTATTACTATAGATAATGAGTTTTCAACTGTGACCTATGGACTTGTTCATAGAGGCTTGTCAAAACTACTCAGCCATTTGCATAGGCAACTGATAGTAACTAAGAAGTAGATTTACAGGCATGGTCAGTAATTCTTGAACCGAATCTGGTTTGGAGTTGACTAAACTTCTCAACAGCATCTCACTTTGTCTCTGCATTGCATTTTATTTGAAGACTCTTCTTGGTTGCTTTTGCAGTTGAAACTGGCTTCTTGGCAGTCCTTAGAAGGGCCCAGTGAAGCAGGTCTTAAAATGTGTATGTTTCATGGTTCAGTGTCAGGTTGCAATGTGAACATTAACCTCTCCATAAGTTACAGGCTTTATCAAGTAGTACCATCGGCATGCTTTCCTATTTGAGTCACTTGCAAGGGGGGGTTTTGTACATAATAGTACGTTCAGTGAATTTTTAGATGGCAAAACCTGATAAGTAGTACCTACAGTATTGGTATGGTCATTAACATGTTGGAGAAAAACTGTTTTGTTGACATTTCACTTGAATGACTGCTTTCAAAATACATTTTTCTGCTTCCCCTCTTGATGTAGGGAATGAATAAAGGTCTTACCCTGACCAGTAAAACAGTATATATGAGCTATGAATCATACTCAACTTCTATTACATTTACAACAATGCATTACAAAGTGCAAGGTTTCTACTAGAATCCTGACAGTGGGAAGGTACAGGCCAGTAGTTCCTGAAGTAGATCCAAATATAGTCTTTTCTCTTCAGTTTTGTAAACACTTGACTCTACCACCCTAGCTAAGCTTGAAATCCTGTGAGTACTGAGGAATTTGTTGGCTTTTCTCAGTGGTAACTTTTCCAGAGAACTGTGCATTAGTCTCCTTGGAGTCATTGCCTAAAGTGGAAATAAAATGTCTATACACATCTTTAAGCCCCAGCTATCAATGTATTTGAGCTGAGACTTGGTATATTATCTGCACACTATTATTATGGTGTATAATCTTGGTGTATCTTGTCTGTACCCCTGTTGTTGGCACTTCAAGATTCCTCCAGAAGAGTTGGTCAGTGCCTTATCCAGTGACTGCTAGTACTGAGTCCGTGTCGTAAGGGCTGGGTGCCTGGGAAAGGCAAAATGCACCCTCTTGATTGAGATGTTTAATCTTTACAACAAAGTACTAGAATTCAGCACAGCTTCATAAACAGTTTTTCACACACACCTCTCACTTAGCTGTAGGTATCCGGAATGTGCAGAAGGACTGTAGAGAAGAATATTCAGGTTATGTCTTTCAGTGCCCATTTAAAGTATGGAAATTCACAGCTGAAATAAGCAGAAGTGAAGGGTGTGACTCCAGGTCTTCTCAGGAGCAGTTTAGGTGGTGAAATACTATCTGCAGTTGCAGATAACATAAAACAGTGATATGATGGAAATGCTAGACATGGACTGAAAAGAAGAACGTGCATGGGAGGCTGCCTACTTGTCCTCACAGCATTGGTATCATGGAAGTTTTTGCCCTGAATTGATGTATCAGACGCTAAGGGTGGATATCACAGCCTGGCTGCAGTTGATCTTTTGCTACATTTGTATTTTTGCTTTTGTGACACTCGAGTGTTTTTCCAGTTGGGATGTTGAAAACCCAGTAAAGAGTCTTTAATCGGGCAGTAGAACTTGATTGCCATTTGTTAAATTTGGATAAATGAACAAAGAGTTAACTGCATGAGCTGCTTTAGTCTGTTGCAGAGAAGTCATACCTGAAAACAAAGCCTAAAGGATATAAAGATATTTCTGTGAAGTTAAAGAATGCAGGAAACTGGTGGGAGCGTAAGGGGTCCTGCAGATGAGTTTCAGCTCAGGCTTCGTACACTGTACTGTCACATAATGGCTTCTGCTTTGATTGCATTTTGATTTTGGTGTTTGGTATTTCAGTTGTTGCTGAAGTGTAGTGTTCCCCTTGAGGTAAAAGTGAAACATGCTCACACTTGTCAACTTGTGTGTCCTATTTTGTCCTCGCACTTTGTTTCTAGGAAAAACACAACTCTGCAAGCCTTAATTTTTAGTTAGCTTTCGAGATCGAACATTAGTCAGCAATGTGCCCTTGCAACCAAGAGGGCTCATGGTATCCAGGGCTGCATTAGGGTTCCTACTAATTCTGGTTTTCTTTGTTGCAGGTGGTATGGTCAAGAAAAGGACTACAATGTTCTAGTTATGGATCTTCTTGGTCCCAGCCTTGAAGACCTATTCAACTTCTGTTCTCGCAGGTTTACGATGAAAACAGTACTTATGTTAGCAGACCAGGTATGTACAGAGCTTACTGTGAGGAACTTAAATACCCTGCAGTATTTTCTGCAACATGGTGATTCTTAAGAAGATTAAATAACATGTTACAGTGTTGTATATAGCCAAGTGAACACTTGACCCACATAGGAGTGAAGTAATGGTGACTGGCTGTGGCATACAAAATGAACACGGGCCTGTAGTGGGAGGACAGCACAGATATAACAAGTGCAACTTTATTAAAATATTGAGACTAACATGGGTGGATTAGCTCCCAGTATCAGCCATGGGGATAGTGGTAGAAGGTCTGAAGCAAGTCTCCAGTCATGGTTGATCTGGTTCGGTAGAATCCTCTTGGCCAGCTGCTGTGATGGGCAACATAGAAGTGTCTTACTGAATGTCACTATGCACTCACAACCTTCTGTAACTTCTGATACCAGACCCTGAGCTAATAAATACCGGTTTGGTTGTTGTGGTGCTTAAAGACAGTTCTTAAAGCTGTTGGTTGAGATACCACTCTACCTCAAACTTAATCAGGGCCTCTAAAATTGAGGTCTCTGAGGTCTCTTAAGTCTTTTTCTAGTGATTGATACTTTTTCAACTAGGTCATGAGAGTACATGAGAGAGAGCATTTGAAATGGACAGCCATTGAATTTTCAATGGTGGCTTAAATTTCATATAATATTATGTAACTGATGTTAGTACCATGTTGTCACTAAGCCAGATGCTCGTAGAATCCCAGGCTCTTGGCCAAAGAAAAGCTCACGGCATTCATATAAAGACAAGGTCAGCTGTCCCTGTTCTCAGCTGCTTTGAGTGGTACTGTCTTTAGAGAGCCATTTGCCTGCTCTAACACCCTGGAGTCTGGATGTTAGAACATCTCCAGGGAGCCTCTAGTTTTCATGCAGTATTCCTTTGAATGATAAAACACTAATCAGGTGTCATCTGGGAAGCATAGATGGGATATATAGTATCTCTGCACAGAACTGACTTTTAGGGCACAGTCCCATAGAACAGCTGTCAAGGGTATGGTGTTGGAAGAGTTCAACTCACTGTAGACTGTGTGAGGGGTGTTGTGGTGGCTGGAAAGCTGCACCAGGTTAATGCTTGTGCTGTGATCTCATGCGCAGGAAACTGTGTGACTGCTTATGATGACACAGATGTGCCAGAGTTTCTTTGCGTCTTCATTGCTGACACTTAACTCCTGGATCAGCTTAGATATGACACTCTGGGCCACAATCAAGTTCTCACTTGCTCTGTGAAAACTGTTACCTGGAAAAGTGATGCTTGATGATGAATGAATGAATAACCAGATGAATGAGTAACTGGGGCAGGGGGAGGGAATGAGCTTTAAAATTGTCTTATAGTAGGTATAGAAGACCTTTGTTTGAAGTAAGAGAAATTACTCTTTAATGGATCACTATAGCTAGAACATGAACTTGAATGTCTGAGAAGTAGTTTCAGATGTTTAATCTGCTATTTCCTGACCAATATTATGGAATTTTAACATAGAAACCCCCCAAAATTTATTTGAACAGCATAAAAACAAGACTTGGTTTTCATTAAGCAAATACATCAGTTGCAGAGGAAGGTAACACTAAAACTTCATGCTTTCATTGCAGGTTTAAGTGAATTTTATTGCTCTCATTGAAACCATACCCATTCTCTTGTTGCTGTTTGTTTTTTTTTTTTTTACAGATGATCAGTAGAATTGAATATGTGCACACGAAGAATTTTATACACAGAGACATTAAACCAGATAACTTCCTAATGGGTATTGGGCGTCACTGTAATAAGGTTAGTCTAATGCTCTTTGTTTTAAAGATCCAAAGGGAATGGCATGTTACTCGATTCAAGCTGCACAACCTTTTTAAAACTCACTGCTAAAGTTGATGTTTTAGATGCTAAACCATGGTTCTTGACATGAGAACTTGGATTTCTCAGTGTCTGCTTCCAAATGCAGTGGCATACACATGTATCTCTGACCCACCCTGTGCACTTGATTGCAAGCCTAGAAATAATCTTGCAACAAGATGATAAACTAACCCTTGAATATTTAACTACTTTTCTCTCAGTGATGGAGTTTCATTATCAAGATGACTGTTGTAAATAGCATTTTTCTCCTCAATGATAAAGTCAAAACTTATGTTTGGCTTTGGGGCTGACTTCCTGGGATGGAAAGAATTCATACCAGTGTGGGAGCTCCTGACCTGCCAGTCATCAGGGCATTAAATCTTGCAGTGACTTACTGGTAAAGAGAACTCTTCAGCCATCAGATATGATTAATAGCCAACATGTAGATAAGTTGCCTTTATAATCAAGGCAACTTGAAATTACGCAAATAGGTTGGTGGAAAACTGTTAAGTTGTGTAGTACCTGAATATGTTATACAACCAAAACTGCTCTCAATTTACGGGGGGGGGAGGAGGGGGAAAAAGTGGGGTTGGGGGGTGGTGGCCCAAGGTTGCATTTGTTTGGATGGATAAACATAGTCAGAAGTGCATGTTTCCTGTTGAATACCTTATATAGAAGAAAACTTTAATTTTATTTTTAGTTCTCTTGAGTGAAATATGCTTAATCCTGCAATTTGTATGTCGAGCTCGGGCAGACAGGCAGCATTGGCAATGCATTAAGCATGCTACTTAATAGAAATTAACTTCAGGACAAATGTATGTGATCAAGCCGTTTATTGGAAGCAAGATTCCCACTTACCTTCTCTATATGCCATCCGAGAATGTCTCATCTCTTTAGGCACTACTAGTATTTAAAATGTTTACCTTTGTTTGCCTGTATGAATGCCAACTTCAGGGCCATGAACGTTAGAAGGGGAAAACTTGATTAACATGAGATAACAGCTCTTGCCTGAAGAGGTGCAGTGCACTGAATGTTTAGATCCAACCATTGTTGGAAAAGCTTGTAAGTCCAGTTGAAAGGCATTTTTTATGTAATCCTGTTGCTGTTAAACTTTGCTTGTTCCCAAGTTTCATACTTTCACTCTGTAGAGCTCTATTTTTCTCTGCTGTGTTGAGCAGTTACACTCCTGAATTTTCTGGCATGACTTAAAGAGTATAACTTGAAAACTTTGATTTTTATTTTTTTTGTTCTAGTTTTAGTTTCTGATTTCCAATTGTTCTTTTGGGCCATTTTTCCAGACTTCTGCACAGTCATGCTAGGTTGGCATTGCTGCACTCTGGTTCATCTTGATGTGGATTAATGGCCTAGAAATTGCTGCTGTGCTTACTTTAGTGGAGGAACACATTAGATTTGCATCAGCTGAAATGAAAAGCAAAATTGCCTGTAAACCATTGTATCTTTTTCCCATTAGTAGCCTAGTTGGGGCGCCACACAAACAGTCTGTGGGCACAGGCTTACCTTACTGTTGCAGGGTTTTAGAGATCAGGGACATTGCTCTTGATAGCTTGACATGAGCAGACTGAGGAATTGCTTGCTTCAGTTTGGAACCAAGTGCTTTATATAGGGAACACTTGCTACCATACAGTATTTACCTTGTTTCTTTGTTGTAATTAAGTGTAGATTGGGATTTTTTTTAGAGCTGACTGTACACAGTTTTAAGCAAACCAGCCACCAGGACTAGAGCAGCATGGTAATCTTGTTCCAGTAGCTTCCTGCCAGTTATAGTTATTTTTTTTAAAATAGATTTTTTTTTTTCCAAATTTGAATTGGGTGATTGGGAGAAATTTTGCTCCCACCTTTGAAAGATGAATCTTTAGCTCTGTTAGAAATCAGCCCTGCATGCTTATGAAAGTAAACTTTAAGGTGACTAAATGCCTTCTACCTCTTCCTTACTGAAGATTTACATTTTTCTAAAAGTCTCTTGGGGGAAGGGCAGTTTGTGGAACTAAAGGCTGCTTTTGTAAGCAAAACTTCAATTTCATTTTTTAATAGAGCCAAATGTCACCATTGCTATCCCTGGTCAAGGCAGTGCCATGTTGGAGCGGCTCACAGTTCAAATTGACCTTGTCACGTCTTCCAAATTTTCTCCTTGGAAAAAAAAATAAAAAAAAAATTTAAATGAATTAAATGTGAATATAGCTGTTTTTTTTGCAAAGTACAGTGCTTGGTGGAAGAAGGATGGCATTTGGCTACCCTGTTCTTTCTCAAACGCCTCGGTGTTGCCTGTCTGCGCCGGCCATTGTTGCAATGTAAGCAATACTGTTTGATGCACTGCCACCCTCTATTGTTTGTTCAGTGTTTAGAATCTCCAGTGGGGAAGAGGAAAAGAAGCATGACTGTTAGTACTTCTCAGGACCCATCTTTCTCAGGATTAAACCAGGTCTGAACTGTCTCCTATTCCAACCTCAACCCCAAATTCATGTGCTTTATTTTTGGTTTGTTTTTTTCTTTTTTTTTTTTTTTTTTTTTTTTTTTTTTTTTTTTTTTTTTTTTTTTTTTTTTTTTTTTTTTTTGCCCTGGAGAATGTAGACCTTGCAAAAGCACCTCTTATGTTGGCATTATTCAGACATACTTGGCAAACATGTAACATTACTAAGATGTTTCCCTGTGGCGCTTGTTTAAATTGTGGAATTATTTCTAAACTGGATATTAAAAAGGGCTAAATGTATGTGCTTGATTTCACATGCAGAAACAGGTTGTATTTTTGTCCTTTAAAACTCAAAGGCAATCTATTGAATGTGAAGGGTAGATGTGCTGCTCTAGTGAAATAGTAGGGCTTCTATGTAGGGCTGTCTGCTTGCCTTCCTGTAGGGTTCCTGCAATGCCTTTGAATGCACGTGGAGAGGTTCTTTTACTGCTTCAGCCAGACTCCTTCCCTTGCAGTTTTTGTTCAAAATCTTTCCAAATGTGTAATGAGGACTCCTATTTGCATCCATTGTGCTTAGAAAATGAAATTACTCCGATAGGCTGTGTCTTGGGGAAGCATGAGTTTATCTTGTAGTGTTAAATGTACTACTCCTGACTCTTAAAGAGAGATAAATCAGAGAGGAATGGAGCCATATGCCAGTTCGTAGCAGGACAGCTGGAAATTGCTGAGTATGAATCATAGCTCAGGAGTTTGGCCATAGAATCAGTCCGTAGCTTTCCACAGTGATAGCCTTCATGTATTCAGTCCTGGGCAGCTCACTGCTGTATGCAGGCTGACAGGCTTCTGTTGTCTGCCTTTGAAACTTTCTTATCAGTCGAGGCAGAGACTTTGATCTACTTCTCTAGTTGCTCTTGGCAGAAATCTTGCCCTATTTCTCCAGTTTCCGGCTGATCGTGCAACAAACAGAATTAAGGTGGTATGAGGTTATCTGTGGGAATACGCCTGTGTTCCTGCTGGCTGGCATCAGTACATTTTGTGCTCATCCAAATCAAGCTGGATCTTCCAACTTATTTCTTTGCAAGATGGACTTGCTGCTTTGCCTTCCGCTCGTTGTGAATGGGAAGTACAGAATGGCCCCAAGCAAGGGAACAGAGTAAACTTCCCCAGTAAAATCAGTGCTGTAAATAATATCCAGTTAGTCGACTCATGTAAAACAGGTCTGCATTGCTGAATTGATTTTTTTTATTTTTTATTTTTTTTTTTTTTTTTTTTTTAGGGGTTCCAGCAAAACACTTTT